GGCAGGAGCGCCACCTCGAACCCGCCCCGCGCCCGGGCCGCCCGCTCACCGGAGATGACAGAATCATTCAGCGCCTCCTCGTCCTGGTACAGGAGCAGGTCGCCCTCCGGGCCGGAGCTCGAGAGCAGGTTTTCCTTGTTCTCCTCCGACTCCTTCGCCGCGGCCCCGTCGAAGCTCCAGGCCCGCTCCACGCTGGACGTTCTCGACAGGCGGACATCCACCCGCTTCCTCGGGGACCCTCTTCCGTCCCTGCCTTGGAAACTGAGCGGGAAGGTGGTGGGTTGCACCCTGTTCCCTTCTGGAAACCCAGAACCACAAGGGGCGTCCGCAGACGTGGCCCCCGGGACGCGCAGCTGCTCGGTTTCTGTCCCGAACTCACAGGACGAGACGCGCCCGAGGCACACGCGGCTCTGAGTCCATGGCCCGCGGCCATTGAGAACGCGCCGTTTGGAATGGCGGAGACACGTGTGGCAAAACCGGCCAAACCGCGCTCAGCACGCGCTCGCCCGAGGTGTGAGGAGGGCGTTTAGTCCATGAATTTCCGCCCGGCCCTGTGCCCCGCCGCCTGCTCTGCCCCCCACGCCCGGCTTCTCCCTCGCTCCATGACGCACATGAGGTCAGGAGGCCAGAGCGAGCTGGGGCCCAGGCCCATGGAAACCCAAGGCCGCCTCCCCCGCGAGCCTCTCCTGTGACGTGCCTGCCCCGCACCAGGACCCTCTGGGGGAGCACAGGGGGTCCCATGGGGCATGCCACCCGCCTGACCCCTCTCAGGATGTGGCCACCAAGACCAGCTGCAGACCGGCTGCTGAGCCCGGTGCAAAATGCAAACGCACTTGGGCTCCTTGTTCAGCGGTGGTTAAGAGTTCAAGCCGCTGACGCACAGCACCGCGCCCGGCCGGCGGCTGCACCGCGCACCCCCGGGGCTGGCCGGGGAACTCGGGCACACGGGCCTCTGGCAGGCGCCTCACCTGTCCTGGCGGTGCTTGGTGGCCAGCGCCCTGTGCAGCTCCTCGATGACGCGGCTGGGGGGCAGCGGCCGGTGGACGGTGGTGAGGTGGGGGGACCCCGTGGGCGTGGTGAGCTGTCCTCGCAGGGGAGGGTCTGCGCTCTTTGCCCCCGCAGCCTGGCCTGGGGAGCGAGAGAAACCACATCGGTGTGTCTTCGGGGCAGGGGGGTCCTGCTGAGACACAGCGGTGAGCAGAGGACGCGGCCTCTGGCCCCGACAGCCCGCCGGTGCCCACTCAGCTCGGCCCCCGGCCCTGCACGCCACTGCCTGCCACACGCACAGCAGACAAGAGCCACTCGGCTGAGCATGCTGCCTGACCAGCGGACCGCTTGTCACTCCCTCTAAGGAGGAAACCGAGGTTCAGAAGCCAGCTCCAGGAGGTGACGGGGGCAGGGGCTGCATCCAGGTGTAGAGGGCAGAGGACGCGGGACCCCCATATAGAAAGCTGTCGCCCAGCCGGGCCGGGCAGGGTGACTCACACCTCTCCGGGGTCCAGGCGGGTAGAACTGGGGAGCCGGGGCATCTGGGCCCCCTGCCACAGGGAGGGGCGGGGACTATGGCACATGGAGGCACAGCTCCCCGTCCTAACCGGCGTGGCAACTCGGGGGGCTGCCGGATGTGGAGACTTTAAGAAAATCCAGAAATCTGGATTGAAGATCAATGTTTTCCTGTATTTTTACACATATTAGTAGCTCAAACTTGAACATACTTTAATATGTTTGCCATGTTGGCAACCCATTTTAAAAGAATATTAAGCCCCATGCAGACCCAGCAAAGCCAGTCTGTGGGGGTGGGGGGGGGACAGGTGGCTCAAGAGTGGGGTGAGGGAGCCCGTGGCTGGGGCCGCAGTGCGCCTCAGATAAAACAGCCCCTGGCGGGGACTCGGCCTGTGCGCTGCCCCCTTGTGGCCCAGGTGAGCCCGGGCGAAGGGCCGTTACCCGCCTCTGCTCTGCTGCCACCTGGCGTTCACTCTGTGAAGCAAACTTTCCCCGACAGAGCAGGGAAGAGGGACAGAGAGGAAGCAAAGTCCCCGACGCAGTCTCAGCTGCGCGAGACGCAGGCTGCAGCCCAGAGCACACAGCCACACGCCGGCCCCTGCTCCTGACCCAGGTGACACACGCCGGCCCCCTGCTCCCGACCCAGGTGACACACACACGCCGGCCCCCTGCTCCTGACCCAGGTGACACACGCCGGCCCCCTGCTCCTGACCCAGGTGACACACGCCGGCCCCCTGCTCCTGACCCAGGTGACACACGCCGGCCCCCTGCTCCTGACCCAGGTGACACACGCCTGCCCCCTGCTCCTGACCCAGGTGACACACGCCGGCCCCCTGCTCCTGACCCAGGTGACACACGCCGGCCCCCTGCTCCTGACCCAGCTGAGTCGGCGACGTGTCCGATTACTATTCCGAAGCTCCTCCCACCTGAGGGGCAGGTGGAAATCAGAGGAGCCGACCGGTGGGCCCGGGACCCAGGACCGGGACGTGGGAACCGCATGGAGGAGTCACACGAGGTGAACCTCATCCAGTCTGGGGTGCGGCCTCCCCAAGCCCGCGGAGGCAGGAAGCCCCTGGGCCATCGAGCCGCCGAGGCCCCGGAACAAGTCACACGCCAGCCAGAACAAAGCACGGCGAGCAGTGCCTGACCACACGGAGACCCAGCCGTCCCGGGTCTCGGCAGATGGCAAAGGGGGTCAACACCAGGGCACCCACCAGCTGCTGGACAGCGTCGCTTTGCCTCGAAACTCCTAATCTGTGTGGCTGTGTCACTCAGACTCAGACTCAGACTCATTCTCAGAGGTGCAGAGATGCCGGAGGCAGAGGGGTTCAGAGCGCCCGCCCATGCCTGCGATCACGGTCACCCATGCCCGCTGACCGCCCGGCACTGGGCTCTGACAGCGATGCGGAGCGTGGCTGGCACGGGGCGAAGGTCTGGGGAGGAGGTGTGGATGGAGGAGCAGCCCTGCAAGCAGGAGTCAGGTTCCCGGGGCCTGTGACAGAGTCCCGCACACTGGGCGGCTCCAAACAGATGTCCACTCCCTCTCGGGTCTGGAGGCCGGACGTCTGAAGTCGCATCCACCGGGGCCATGAGGGAGAAACCGCCCCGGCCCCTCCCCCAGCTTCCGGGGGCTGCCTTGGTGTCCCCGGCCGTAAACACGTCACTCCGATCTCTGCGTCCGTCTTTCACTGACGTCTGTGTGTCCCTTTCTGTCCCTTCTGTGGACTCTCACCGGATTTAGGGCCCATCCTAAGCCAGCATCACCGCACCTCACACCTGGTCTAGTTAGGTCTGCGAAGACCCTTTTCTAAATAAGGTTCTGGCAGGACATGAATTTTGAGGGGACACCACTCCACGCACTTCACACGGTGACACACCATAAGTCCTGGAAGGCAAGGCACGTGTGGCCACTGGGTCCGGGTCAGAAAAGGCTCCCAGAAGGAGGGACGGGGGTGCGCAAAGACCGGGTGAAGGGGAAAGAATATTCCAGAAGGGAGAGCAGTACAGGGGCGGGAAGGAAGAAATGACCTTTGGGCCCGGAACCAAGTTCCAGCCTCCAGCAGCTGGGGGCCCTGCGACAAGCTGCTGGCGCCTCCTGAGCCTGCGTCCTGCTGTCAGTCAGGCACACGCCCCCTCCCCTGACTGGGCTGTGGGCTCTGGGGCCGGCTCGCAGCCCACAGGAGGCAGGCGGCGGTGTTACGGGCAGTGGTCCAGGGCTTCGAGCACAGCCACCGAACTCCCCAGTCACTGCCACCTTCATGCCACTGCCCTTGCTGGCAGCATGTCAGGATTTCCCCCCAGAAGCCATCACCTCTCGGGGAAGGGCCTGCTTTCCCGACACCAGCAGTGTCCCCAGTTTCTGGCAGTGCGGGGTCGAGAGAGCCAAGCTTAGAAAGTCAATGTCCCAACTTAAAGTAAGTGTTGCTGGCATGTTTCAGCCAGTGAGGCCAGAGCTACAGAAGTGGGGGGCCTGGCCCCTCCCTGACCACCGCCCCACCATCTGGTGCTGACTCCTGGTTCTGCCTTGCTGGACGGAGCACACTGGGGAGAGAGTCAGTCCAACAGAGACGAGCAGAGACAGTGACAGGCATGGAGAGGGGGAGGGAAGGGGCCAGAGAGACAGACAGAATGAAAGAGAAGCAGAACTAGGAGGACAGACACCTAAACGCCCAGACAGGCAGGAAGTCCCCATCCTGGGGGCTGACGTGCCTCGTGCACTCAGGTCTGGGAGACACCTGACTGGCTGAGACCGCTCCACTTGCTTGAGGGACCCGAGTGGTCTGCTCCGGACGACCAGAGGTCCTCGCTAAGAACAGCCCTCCCGCCTCCCGTTCCCCGGGCCTGTCCAGAGCCACGGTCGCGGAAGCAAAAGGCGAAGACCGGGCCAGAGCGGAAGTCCAGTCAGAACGGATGAATGGGAGGGAGGGACGGGAGGCTGGCAAGGGGACGCGTGGGTGGCCGACGCTCACAGACTCACCTGTGACATTCTTCGTGGCTTTGGGGACGGCCTTGGGCGGTGGGGTGGGCAGCAGCGGAGGGCTGGGGAGCTGGCCCATGGCTCTCTCCAGAGTTCCGGGAGGACTGTCCAGGGCGTCAGACCCAGCTAAGGCTTGCGAGGACTCGTCCGTGGTGGGCAGAAGGCTGCCGGTGGCGTCTGCGTCTTCACCTCTGGATGCTGACGGCATCTTGGCTGGTTCAAAGGCAAAACAGAGTGTTCGCAAACCACGGTCCCCTGCTTGGGTGGATGTGGGGAGAGAGGGGGACTTTGGCTGGGTGGCACTAGGTGGCACCACGCAGCAGAACGCAGATGGGTCACTTCACGCACAGGCGACATCCTATGGCTTAGACCAGCAACAGGACGGTCAGATGCCAGAGGTGGCGGGAGGTGGGAGGGTGGGAGATAATTAGGAGCTGGAGCGATTCGTCCGTTTTCCACTCACCAGGTGGCGCCAAAGCCCCCCGGGGCCTGGGGATGGGTGGCGGTCACAATCCCGGGTTTTGGAACCAGACACCCTGGGCCCCGGACGGCCCCTGCACTTACTGTGACCTCGGCTAAGAAACCTCTGTCTCCGTGTACCCACCACGCATGACATCGGGCTAACAGCATGAGTCCCTCACGGGACGGGCGCGAGGTTTAAACAAGTGACGCTGAGACCCGTGCCCCCCAGCACCTCGCAGACCCTCACACTCAGCGGCCGGCGACTCTGATGTCCAGCAGCCCCGTGTCCTGGCATGCTGGCCTAGCGGGGGACGGGGGGGCTGGCTGTGAGGAAGGGTGGCCCCCCCAGAGACCCGCACCCTCTCTTTCCAGCGGCTGGCTCAGGCACCCCCAGAACTGCTCCTGTGTGGACAGCCCTCCAGACCGTCCGGCCCCCCGCGTCCTCCCCAGCCGCCAGCCCGCTCCTCCTCGCTCCCTTATCCAGCTCGATTCCGCCGTCCGTCCCAGCAACGACCTCACCCCCACCCCGTCCTCTGCCTCCCCACCTTTCCGTCTGACCCTCTCTGAAGCCCCACCCCTGGGGGAAGCCTCTAGGCGGCTCCCGCCTCTGCGAGGGCTGAAGGAAAAGGCTGACACAGAAGCCCCGGTCCCGGCCGCCTCGAGCCGCCAGCCTCCAGGGCCCTCGGCTCTGCCTCTGCCCCGCAGTTAAGCTTCGAACCTCCCTGGCTCCGTCGTCCGGTGCTCAGCTCTGTCCTCCCTCCTCCGGCCTTACAGGGGAGGGCAGGCTCTGGCCAGGGGCTCTGGCCTCCGACTTGTGATTCAAACCCAAATCCACCTTCCCCGACACGAGGGGCAGCCTCCCAGCCCCCGCTCGGAGCCCCGGTTCCCTCGCCCCTCAGCACACAGCCCGGGTGCCCAGGCCTGTGAGGCCCTTGCTTGCTCGTCTCCCCGACCACCCGAGGAGGAAGACACACCCAGGGCACAGGACCCGGCCTAAGTGGCCGCGCGAGGCTCCTGCATCCGGCAGAAACCGGCTCCCGAAGCCAGTGTGCGGGGCGCTGTCCGCGGTGCTGACCAGCCGGCGGGAGCCCCGCCCTCCGCCGCTTCAAACACTGCATCCCACGCGTCCTGTTCCTGTCACGTGACTTTGACCGTCCGCTGGGAGCTGAAAACCCCTCACGCCAGGAGCCTCCTCCTGTGAAGTTCATGGACTCGTACTGTGTCTCCGGAGGGCTGGCTCCCCCAACTCCCGATCCGCGAACCCTGAGACAGGAAGTGCCCCTCCCCCAGCCGCTGCCCCGTCCACGGCTCGTCCCGCCCTGCACGGCTACCCAGGGACACGGCTACCCAGGGACACGGCTGTTTTAAATGACGGTTATTTACCACTACTTACAAAACTGTCCTCAAAAGCGTTATTTGTTAATAGTTTTTCTAAGACTCCTAGACTTCAAGACTAGTGTTTTGTACTATCAACTATAACTCATAACTTCGAAGAGTCTGCAATTCTGATTGTTTTAAGTTTTATACTGATAATGACATTGAAATAAATGTTTGGGGCCTTGTGGGTAAGAACTGGTGTGGTTTCAGGCGAGCACGGAAATGGCCTTCTTCTCCACGTGGGCACCGGTCCTGACCCTTGGGCTTCCTGTCTCATGGGAATAACGCAGGACAGTGGACACCGATCCCTGAGACGCCATGCTCCAGAGCCCAGGCCCTGGGCAGCCACGCCTGCAGCCGGACGCAGCCGCTTAGGGCTGGCGTGAGCCTGTGTACCCCACCCGGGCTCAGAGTCTGTGACCTGGGCACCCGGCGTGTCTCCAAGGCTGTGGTCATGGGAGAGGCAGACATCACAGGAACGGCTCACCTGGCTCCGTCCCATGACCAGCCGCCCCCTTCCCCGCACCGTGTCTGACTCGTTCCAGACCCGGGACCTCGGTCTCCACCTGAGCCTCAGTTGCCCCCTCTGTACAAACACCTGTGCACAAACCTGAGCCAGCTCCCGCAGGTCAGGAGGAAGAGTCTGTTGGAGCACTGCAGGTCCGTCTGACTGTGGACACCTGGGGGCCACCCCGCCAGAGACAAGTGTCATCATGGAACATGGGGTCACATCTCATTCTAGGTCAGGGGCTCTCGACTCAGCACCACTGACGTTAGGGCCAGAGCATTCCCTCGTCAGGGGCCACCCTGTATGGTGTTTGCCAGAGTCCCTGGCCTCTCTCCACAAGCCACCAGTCACCGTTGCCAGCTGTGATAACCACAAATGGCTCCAACTCTGTCCAATGTCCCCCAGCAGGCAGTGTGCCCATGGCTGAGAACCGCTGCGTGAGGCACACACTAGATTTCTGACGGGAGGCTCTGTGACATCTCTTTGGGGACAAGGCCCACGGCAAGACCCACAGCTGTGACCCCCCCATTGGGGACGAGGCCCACAGTAAGACCCATGGCTGTGACACCCCCCTCAGCACTAGCTGGGTCTCCCGCTGTGGAAACGTGATGGGTCAGCTGCTCCCTCTGGGCCACAGGCCTCCCGAAGGCCCGTGGTAAGAGGGTGGACACCTTCCTGTCCATCACAGCAGCCACTAGCCACACGTGGCCAGTGTGACCGGGGAGCCAAATGTGCATCTGACTTAGTTTTAATTCATTTAAATCGCCACGCAGCCTGCACCTCCTGGGCGGACCAGCCAGCTAGGATTTCTGGGAGCGAGCCAGTGGTCAGAGCCCGAGCCCCTCCACCGGAGCGATCACTGGGCAGAGGTCTGGCGCCCATGGCGGTGCCCCCAGCCCACCAGCCCGAGCTGGAATGTGTATCCCCCGCGTAAGGCCCCAGGACCCAACACACCAGCACCCTCCAAAGTGTCTCTACAAAGCTCGCCTGTGCTCGTCACGCCGTGACCCCGAGTCCCTGACCGACCTGTCTGAGGGGTCCGCGGGCTGGGATGCTGGTTTGCGACATCTCCGTAAGCCTACAGCTTCCTCTGCGTCTCACGAATGTGTGTAGACGTCAGTTTGGGATCTCGTAGAAACTGACGTTTTAAATCTATTACAGTCTCAGGTGTCGGATCAGAGAAGAAGAAGCAGAGAAGACGTCAGCTTTGCGAGTTCCTGGCCTTTGGGATGCCGCCCTCGGGGCTGTCCCTGTCCTCACCAGCAGAGGTCGCTTCTCACCCACCGCTGGCTCCGCAGAGGCTCCCGTCAGCCCACAAACAGCAGGGCAGGGCACAGGCCTAGGACAGAAGTCCCGGGAGCTGGCCTCCCATCCCTCCGGGAGGACAGGACCAGACTCTCCACTACGGCCCCCAGACCCCGCAGCACGCCCCACCCACAGATCTGTGCTCCCAGCGAACCCAGTCTGCTCACGAATGCAACCCCGACTGTCAGGACAGAGCTCGCCTGGGTGCTGGCGAGGGCCGGCTCGCTCCTCAGAGCTGAGCGAGCAAAGGGGAGCCGCCAAGGAGAAGCGCCTGGCGCTGGCGGGAGGCGGGGCGGCCCCTGCCTGGCAGAGCGGCCGGCTCAGCAGCTGAGGGCAGTGCTGGGCCGCAAGGACCACGGGTGGGAGGCCACGCTTCACGAGGCCACCAGAATCACGCCAGCCCCAACCCTGACAAGTCCAATGCCCGGGCATGGCGGGCCACGGGCATGCCCAGGGGCCTCCACAGGAGAGGACGGGGCTGCCCCAGGGGCCACAGCTATTCAGAGCCCAAACTCCTATTGTGTCCCCAAGTCAGAGCGAAACTGGAGAGGCACAGCCACGCCCCCTCGGCAGGTGCCTACGAACGCTGGAGGGCACGTGGATGGGGCAGCCTGTGAGAAGCACAGGTGCGAGCCTCGTGTGGCAGGAGGGGGCAGCAGAGGACAGACGGACGCCCAGTGGCCGTGACGCAGACAATCCTGCTGGCTACAGTGGCCACAGCGGCCCTGACCTCACGGCCTGGACTTCCAACCTCCCACACACGTGGAGACACAGTTCCAGCCCCGCCGTCCCTGGCACCCCGACAGCCGCAGTGTCCCTAGGGGACAGGCTTCCAACTCAACAGTGAGGTCTCCCAGGAGATGTCTCTCGGAACGCCGCGGAGAGGTCAGAGGGCGCGGTGCCCTGACCCAGGCTCCTTGGCGGGATTCACGCTTCTCTCCCTCTCCCGCCCGCTTCCTCCTCCACCCTCCCTCAGCCGGGAATGGTCCCCGCCCTGTGCGGTTACAGTAACAGCCACCCCCAGGGCCCACCGCCCGACAGCAATCCGTGTGGCAGGCGCTGTGCTAAGTCCTCCCACCCTACAAACGACCCTGACACGGGCCCCCCTGCTGGTCCCGGTTAACGGAGGGGACGAATGGGGCTCGGAGCAGTGCACGAAGCTCAGAGACGCTCCTCACACAGGAGCGGGGCCCGGGGCCCTCGCCAGCACCCCCCACGCCAGGCGCGCACGGCCGGCACCAGGCAGCTTCTCAGGGAGAGGCCAGGCCACTGCTGGGGTTCAGGCTCTGGGAGGTCCCTCCCTCCATCCTGACCCGCGGCCTTGGGGCAGCTTAGACGCTCCCCCGGGATGCTGGCTCCTTGAGAGAGTTTTCTGCTCAGAAGCCCCCAGTGAACAAGCAAAGGAATCAGGGGAGAAGGGTTACGAGGCCCCCCGTGAGTGTCTCTCAGCGCCCGAATCCACCGGCCGTGACAGTCAGACGCGGGGATGAAGCAGGCGCAAAACGCTCCGGCACATGCTTAGGCCTCACCGCATGGCCAGGGGCAGCACAGGTCACGCCCGGGGCCTGGCCAGGCCTCCGAGAACAGCCTTCTGCTGGAGCTACTGCCCAGGCCCTGGCCGGGGTCCCCAGTTGCCACTCAGGCTGATGGCCATCCTGGGAGCAGCTCGACCCCACAGGGTCTCCAGCCAATACCTGCATCATCCGAATGGGCGTCTGAGGACAGTGGCTTCTCCGGGGGATCCTGGTCCATCCCGGTGGCCAGGGGACTTCCCGGCCGGGCCTCTTCCAGGGTCAGCGCCTCCTGCTCGGGGGTGGACGGGTTGCTGCGTGTGGCTCGGGGGCCTCCGTCAGGGTTGCAGGCTTTGCTTTCGGCATCTGCAAAAAAAAAATCCAGCTGTCGGCCGAGCCTGTCCTCCCTCCCGACGAGCTTTCATTCGTGCCGAGTGCCGTTCCGGGCCGGGCGTGGCCCTGCACCCCGCACCTCCACCCCTGGAGTCCCTCTCTGCACATCCTCCCCAGGTGGCACCAGCACGGGACGGCCCTGGGCCTCCGCCCGGCACACCACTGCCCACCTGTGAGCCTGCACTCCAACACCTGCGGATGCCGAACGATGCCCCCACCCTAACCCTGGACACCGCCCCGCGGCCGGCTTTGGTCAGTGGGACGTCGGCAGGTTGGATGCGCAGCAGCAGCTTTGGAAGTGTTTGCACCTCCCCGCCTGTTCCGCCTGGGTACCCTGGCCCTCGCCCCGAAGACACACCCCACCAAAGGTCTAAGGGATGAGGCACACGCAGCAGAACCAGGGTCAACCGGGCCGGTGACAACAGATGCCCCAGAGGTGCTGCTTTGTTGCGTGACATCTTCGTAGCTACAGACAGCTGGTTATCTTCTGCCCCACCCAGGTCCCCATCATGCAAAGGTTTAATTACCCACCATGCATCTGGCACGACACAAGCCTGAAAGGCTGGGCATAATGAGACACCACCCTTGCCCACAGAGGTTCACTCTGAGGCTCAGGAGCACAAGAATGGGGACACCCCGAGGACTGGCATGTAGACAGGCAGCCACCCCAGAAGGGTGACACCAGGCTCCTAGCAGGGCTGAGAGAATGACCTGAATTCCCTTTGCAGCTGCCGGAGCCTTGAAGGGTCTAGTCCTTGCCTGATGTTACCCCCGGGGTCCCATCTTACTGATGAGGGCCCAGTGCTCAGGAGCTCACGACTGACCCAGGCCACACAGCCACGAGGCAGCGGGTCCAGGCTAGGAGACTCAGCAGCAGGCAGAAAGGCCCCCTCTTGAGACGCGGATCACCGGCCCCTGACTCCCCGCGGCTGGTCCGTGGAGGCCAGCACAGCACAGGGTGGCGGTGTGACCTCACACACTCACAAGGCCAGGGGAACGCCAGCCTGGCTCAGATTCCTCCCAGGTGGCCTCCCACCACGACGGGGAGAGAAGGGAGGTTTCAGAGTTGGGGGGCCCCCTCGGCCCAGGTCAGTCCCAATTTCTGCCTGCTGTCCTCGTGTCTGTCACTGTCCTCGTGTCTGTCACTGTCCTTGTGTCTGTCACTGTCCTCGTGTCTGTCACTGTCCTCGTGTCTGTCAACGGTGTCCCTTTCACTCCCCAAAGGGCCCTGGTTGGACCGGAAGTACAGGGTCACCCTCGGCATCCCGACCACTGCAGAGACGGTGCATGGCGCCCACAGCAAACATCTCCGGGCCTCAGCCTCATGCATAAAGTGGGGATGATGACCTCGCAGGCCGCTCCGTGGCACCAGCGTCAGAACTGAGATGACACACGACGCGCCTGCGTACAGCGAGCACTACACACGCTCTTGCGATGGTCACTTCCGCTGTCGATGGCGACGGTTTCGATGGGGAGGAAAGGGTGCCGAGGGTGACGGTGTGGCCGCGAGGCCCACACGCCCACGTCCCTCACCAGGGCCCTGCCCTGCCCAGGACACAGGCCGGGCCCACGGCGTGCGGCCCGCCAAGGCTTCGAGCTGTCGTCACTGCCCATCACGCTCCCTCTGCTGCACGTGCATCCTCGGGGGACATCAGAGCCCAGCCAGGCCGAGACGGTGGCGATCTGGGCGAGGAAGGTCTCACCTCTGCGGCCGAGTCGCCCGAACAGGGGTCAGGCCGAGGGTCAGCAACCGTCCCCCACATGGGGGCAGATGGTCGACATTTCAGACTTCGTGGGGCGTGTGCCGTAAGGTCTGTGCAGCATTTTCTTTCTTGATTTTTTTGGTTTTACAAAAACTCTTTAAGTTTAAAAAACATTCTGAGCTCAAAGAATTATGCAAACAAGCCCTGGGCCAGGCGCAACCCACAGCTGTAGTTTGCCCGCTGACACCTGACCTAGGAGAGGACACAGGCACGAGCCAAGAGGACTCGCCCAGTGGGCAAAATCAGATGCCACCAAGTTCCAACCTGCAGTTTTCCCGGACCCTCTCGTAACTGATTTACTCATACTTGACGCACGGCTGTCACAGGCTCTGCCACCAGCTTCCTTGGCCCTCGGTGATGGAAAACGGTGATGACAGCCAGCACCGACTGAGGGTATGCGCGCCGCCAGAGGTGCAGCGTGGGTGGTCCGCCTCGGACGAACCTCGGCGCGTTTAGGTGAGGCCGCTTCTGCCGTCTCTGGGTGCGGACGCTGAAGCTTAGACGGTGCTGGCCATTTGCTGTGACGTCATCGTTGATACCAATGGCCTGTCCATTGTCATCATAACGAAAACGAACTGATGGGAACACTGAACTTGAAGAGGTCTCCGGCCCTGAGCCGTCCTCAGCAGAGGCTCCGCGCTGGCACGGCCCTAGCACCCCCCACCCCCACCCCGCTTCTGCAGGCGAGCGGCCGCCTGGACTTCTCTGGGCTCTGCTGAGAGCTCCAGCTCGTAATCTTGTTCAATGAAAAGTTACAGTTCCCAAAATAGCCCTGGTGGCAGGGCCGTTGCTAGGAAACGCCGGTTGGGGCGGGGAGCCGTGGGCGCTGGTGCCCCCTCCTGCCTGTTTTCCACCAATGCCCTTCCCCTCAGGGCCAGAGGGGTGCACACGGCCAAGCCTGTGTCACACACGGAGTAGCAGCAGTGATGGAGCGTGCCACCGACGCATGCACACACGCAGCCGTGCACAGACGGTAAGAGTGCACGCGCCCACGCCGGCAAGCACGCACACGCATGCAGACACACGCACACGCATGCAGACACACGCACACAGACACACGCGGATGCACACGCATGTGGACACGCACACACGTGGACACACACGCACACGCATGTGGACACACACACGCACACACGCACACACACGCGCACGGCCCCTGGCGTTCCCGCTGCGGTAATCAGAGGCTGTTACCACCACCACCCAGTCCCCCTGAAGAAATGTCCCTTGCGTCCCAGGTCACTGAACACAGCACCCGGGTAACAGCTACTTCTACTAGTGCCGGAGTCTGAGATCCCTTAAGTTATCTAAGAACATGCCCGGTGGACGGAAGCAGGAAGGTGGAGGAAAGTCATCGGGACACACGGGGCCCACGCGCAGACACCTGCCGGCTCCTGCCCACTCCTGGCGCCTGGGCGTGGCCGGGCGGAGGGCCGGGGAGGCTGGCCGGCCCTCGCTGTTTGCACGTGCCAGAGAAGGGTGGCCATGGCAGCGAGGACGGAGCGTGGGGTAAGCGCCACCTCCCCGTCCCCACGCAGACCTGGTCCCACCTCCCACGCCCGCGACCGTGCAAATGGTCCTCATCCTTGAGGGTTCCGGCCGGTGAGCCACCTGCTGGGAGCGAGGCCGGGGAGGGGCCAGGCGCGTCGTTAAAGGCAGGAGTGACCAGCATCGCGAAGGCACCGAGGAAGGAGGACGCCCGTGAGTGGGTCACAGGCCAGCTCCGGGCCCAGCTCATCACGCTGACGACTGCCTCGTGGGCAAACGCCAGGTGACTGACGCAGGTGCGCACCTGAGTGTGCAGGAAAGAGCCCCCCGCCTGGGGTTTGTCCTGGCCAGGGACCCTCAAGTGCAAGTTCTTGGGGCCACCAAGCACTCGGGCAGCTCTGGGGGTGGCCCAAGCCCGTGGAGGCCTCTCGGCCCCTCCCTCCCTGTCACCCCCTCGGCCTCCCGGGAACCCGCCCTGTGGAGTCCTGGTGACAGGGTGGCCACAGGCCCAGTGTGGGGGCAGCCGGCCACAGAGGGGCACTGCTGGCTGCAGGCGGTCCCGGGGTGGGAGCAGGTGCTGGCAGCTGAGAAAGATTCCTTAACCCAAGCCCAAGAAGCCACAGCTGCCCCTTTCCCCCTCCCCCCCTCGGGAGGCCTCACAGGCAGCTGCACCCACAGAGGCCTCTGAGGGAGCAGGTGCGGCGCCCCACTGGGAGGGAGCCTCTGTGCTCGCTCCCGCCCCTCCTGGGCTCCGGGCCACGCCGGGGGACCCTATCGACCGAGCAGGACCCGTCATCCCAACACGAGGAAAAACCAGGGGTACACAGGGCCTGCCCCAGAGCTCCGCCTCGCCCCCAGGGGGCAAAGACATTTTCTGAGCAAGGGCACCACAGACAGTCGTGCAAGGAAGCCTTCACCCCCGAGCCTGCCACCAACCGCTGTGCACGTCCGCTGCCACGGTGTGTTCCTTGTTCATGAGGTGTCACAGTAGAGAGCTCAAGCGGCACGGGCCAACGGTGGGCGCACAGCCTCCCCTCCCGCCCCCAACCCCAGGCCCCTTCCCAGGGGACCCCATTACCGCTTCTAATAGGCCCCTCCAGCGACGCCCTGGGCAGGCTCCCCGCAGGACACTCGCTCGCCTGCCCTGCAGCTGCTCTGGGCTCCCATGGCCCCTGGGGGGGGGCTGCCTTTGTCACCCAGCTGCGTCCTGGGGACCCTGCCTTGACTCCATGTTAGAGAGAAGGGACAGGGAAGACATAGGCACTGCCGGTCCCAGGCTCCCCTCCCTCTCCCCTTTCTGACCTCCCTGCCCCCACCCGCCTTCTCGGGGTTCCTCAGGGGGACGCCCCGCTTCCTTTCACCACCCAGGCAGCTTCTCCAGGCTGAAGACACACACCCCCCGCCCCCGCTCCCCGGTGCCTCTCGGCTCCTCAATCTCGGCTCCCCCGAGCTGGAAGAAGCTGGGGAGGTTTATAAAGCAGACCCGCCTGGGCCCCGCCCCGAGCCTTTACGTTAAGAGCTGCCCAGGTGACCCTCACATCTAGCAAACTGAGATCCGGCCTTTGGACCCTCCGCAAACATCACCTCCCGACCCCCGGACCAGGTCTCACGTTCGGAGGGTGTTCCCTGCCTTTCCCCCACCACTCATCTCGGCTGTCATCTTGTGTTTATTTCTGGGAATCACCTAATGCTTGTTCTGGCAGGATGGTATTTGGCTCACCTGGACCCTCAGCGGCTGAAGCAGACCCTGCCCACAGCAGGTGGTCACCAAAATGTGCCACTTTAAAAGCGCGTTTTCAACTCAAGGCAAGAGACTGAGTCTCAGGCCCATCTAGTTCCTGGTCCATGGTCACTCAGCAAGAAAGAGCATCCTGCAGCGCCCCCTCCACTGCCCCGGGACAGACCCAGCCCACCTCCTGTCCCCTATCCCTGGGCTAATGGAGTCCATGCCTCTATATGGTTGAAAAAATGAACATAACTCAGCACCCATGAGAGTTTACACAATCCAAATTTCAATGTGCAGATGAAATTTTCCGAAGGCACAGCCACGCTCACCCCGTTACGCATTGCCGGCTCCTGCCTCTCAATGGCAGGGCAGGGCCCCCGAAGCTCAAATATGTACCACCTGATCCTTTCCAGCAAAGATTCGCCGAGCGCCTCGCTGCTGTGGGACGGTCACACGCGTGGAGGCCAGGACAGCAGGCTCTGCAGCAGCACGGCCCCGAGGTCACCCCGACGGCTCGGCTGCTGCCGCATGCCCGTCCCGGGTCTGGTCTGAGTCCGTCAGACAGAACCGTTTGACAAAGACCCAGCACTAAGGAGATGCAAACTGCCCTGCTCAGGGAGTTCTCCCCATCAGCTCCGCACCCCCATCCCTTTATCCCGAAGAGGAATCGAATCCGCATCTCTACCCTTCGTCCATCAGCGATCGTGTTTTTTATGATATGACAAACGGGACTCAACCCTGTGGTTATTTTCCCTTCCCCAAGGTCCGCAGCAAGGTTTGTTGGCGACAGAGTCAGAATGCCTGAGTGTGAAACTTTTTTGTCCCATCTGGATCAAAACAGCCCAGACTGCTGCCTCAGCAACGGCACCCCTAAATCGAAGCGTTGGCAGAGAACAGCCGACATCGGACACCGCAGGCCTGGACACCAAGCTTCCCTTTGATGTGCGGAGTGTGATTATGAGAACCGAGCAGTTGTCTTCACAGGTTTCCCCTGAAAACAGCAACATCGAAACACCTCCTCGCTCTCTGAGTCCGCGGAATTGGCGACAAAGGCTGCCCGGCGCTTTGGCCTGTGAGCACGCAGACGGCCGGCCGCCCTGCTTCAGGGAGCTTTACAAAGCGGGACTCGCCCGCGTTCCCTCGAAGTCCTGACACGTGGCGGGTGCGTGGGGGGAGTTATAGAGCCGCTGCCCATGGTTTAAGGCTGAAAGCGGGTGGGAACTCAGTGTTTTCACGCTCTCTCGTGCAGGGCCCCACGAGGCCAGGCTCCTTCCAGCACAAGGAGCAGCGTGGTCCAGAGACCCGCCAGCTGCAGTGAGGTTTTCCGAAGCCCCCTCACCAAGCTGAGGCGTGTCAGCGAACCAGGAAGCATGGGGGGACCCACGTCCTGGCCTCGGGCCTCACGCTGTCACTGAGAGAGGAAGATGGGGCTCAAGGATTCTTGTGAATTAATTGTCCTAGAGGCAGTAACTGGTGTTTCTCAATGGTGCCAGCAAAGGTGGCCACACAGATGCCACCGAGATGGAGACCTCAGACCAGAGCTGGACAGTGTCTCGGCTTCCCCACTGTGGCCTGGGGCAGCTGCCTGCCGGACCCCCACACTCCTTACCTGCAAAGGGGGGGTAAGGATGTACCCCATGCCGAGGATGCGGGGCGGACGAGAGGGCTGAGGTGGGTACAGACCCGCACAGGGCCCAGACTGCCATCGATGGTTAAGAAACGGTGGCTGTAGCTGCAGGTGGCAGTGAAAATAACTTGCCCAAATCAAGGATTAAAATGCGAAGAGGGAATTAACTAAAAGCCGCTGCCACCACTTCAGAGGAATCAGGACTAA